GAGAGGAAGAAGTGGCCATGATTGGCATAGACTGGAATGATGGAGACGGTGAGCGCAACAGAGAGGGATGATGAACAATGCTTGGTCCAGGATTGAGACAGGCGGTGGGTGCGAACGCCAAATGGTACGATGCGGGCAAAGTGTTTGGTGTGGGCCTCAACATCATTGTTTTATTGGTTCCTCGTGTGCACCATCATGGAAGTGAAAGTCGGTTAAAAGCTCGATGGTGGGTACGAATAGGGAAGTAACTGGTCCGACGTAGAAAGTGGGACAAGGCCGATGACGGGAATGAAGGAGAAGAGAAAGAGGCGACGGGTATGGCTTGGGGAAGATGAATATGTTGGGTTTTTGTTTTGTTAGTTTAAAAACACGTAAGGGGTTTAATTTGAGTAAAATTGAGTTTTAAAATAGGAATTTAAAATTGAAAATGATAAGGAGATATGAGATAGATGGGGTTTACGGTTAAATAAAAAGAAGAAAGAAAGGGGTAGGGTGTAATGGGCGTTGGCATGTATATGTTTCAAAAGAAAACATAGATATTTTTTTGGGTTTGGCTAATATGCACCAGCCTATTAAAAGGGAATACTAACGTACGAAGTTTAATGAAATGACGTGCATGAGGCTGGGACAAATTTGTCTGATGATGTTGCTCCTGGTTTCGAAATGAACACTGTTCGAATATAAAATCTAAAAATATTCCTCGTTTAAGCTTGTTTGAAAACATTTGGTTCCTGAAATATAAAAAGAAATAATTGAATTAGGTTTGCTTAACCGAAATAAAATAAAATAAAATAAAAATACAATAAAATTAAAAATAATGGGTTGCCTCCCATGAAACGCTTTTGTTTAACGTCGTTAGCTTAACGACCTGGTTTAGACTACCGGTTCTAAGAGAAATACTCATTTGCTTTTTCTCATTGTAAGAAATTATACGATCATATAATTCTTTTATTTTCTCATTGTAGAACTTTGGCATTCTCACATATTTTTGCTTCGAACCTTTTTTGGCTTTGAAAGTTTATATGAAATAAGAACCAGTGAAGTAGCATTTTCTCCTAGAAAGGCATTCTTTAAGTGTTTCTGCATTTGTTTCAGTTCTAGCTCAGGTGCCTGCAAAATAGAAGGCAAAACTTTAGACTTAGAAAGAATACATTAGTTTTTACAAACTCATTTTCCAAAGGATTAATAATACCAACATAATTTATGCTCGCCACTTTGTCTATGTGTCTCATTACCTTATACACATCAAATTTAATGATCTCACCATCAAACTCCATGGTCAAAATCCCGCTTCTTACGTCAATCTTTGTGTGTGAAGTACTTAGGAAGGGACGCCCCAATAGAATATCGGAAGAAGTGCTGGTGCGATCATTCTCCATGTCTATTATATAAAATTCAGCGGGAAATATTAAGTCGTTTACCTCCACTAGTATATTTTCCAAGAGTCCTTCCGAGTAAATGACAGATCTGTCATCAACTTGAATTGATATTTTTTTTATCCTTCAAGGGCTCGTTATTCATCATATTATAAACAGAGAGATGTATCACATTAATAGAGACGTCAAGATCACACATGGCTCGCTTTATCCCAACTTTACCAATTTTACAGGGTATTGCGAACATACCTTGGTCTTTCAGTTTTGGTGGCAACTTTTGTTGGAATACAACTGAGACATGTTCTCCTAGATTTATGTTCTCGTTCCCAGTAAGTTTTCTCTTTTTTGTGCAAAGGTCCTTAAAAAATCGGTCATATCTTGGAACCTTTCGGATAGCCTCAATAAGAGGTATATGGATTTCCACCTTCTCAAATACATCTAGTATTTCCTTTTTCTCAGGTTGTTTATCCCTTTTTACTAACCTCGATGGAAAATATAGTGGTACATCATAGGGAGATGGCGTTAGATCCATTTTTACTTCGTATATCTTCTTCTGGGATCTTGAGTCAATGATCTCCTTTTTGGATTGCTTCATCTTCTGGAACAGGTTGCGCGACCACTGTACCACTCCAAAGAGTGATGAAACTGACATTCTCCCTTGGATTTACCTCGGTTTGAGACGAAAGTTTACCTTCTGATTCTAAACATCCTATGGTCTGAGCCAGTTGGTTTATCTGCTTATCCATCTCTTGTAAGTGGGCTTCAGTACGAATCTGGAATTTTTCTTAGGAAAGAGCCAACCTCTTGACAATTGATTCTAATGAAGACTTTTGCGGCTATTGGGGTGGTGAAAGTGGCCTTGGTTGATAAGCTTGATTTGGCCTTGAGTTTTGAGCGTAACTGAAATTTGGATGATCCCTCTATCCTTGGTTGTAAGTATTACTGTAGGGATTATAAGCCCTCTGGGGAGGTCCTGGAAAGTTCCCTACTGCATTAACTTGAGTCGATGTGTTATCGTGAATCAGTGGATAGTCGTCTGTTGGATGATCAGTTAATGAACATATTCCACATTATCTGTTAGGTCTTATCTTTCCTGCAACAAGAGAGTTGACTACTTCAGTTAATTTATCTATCTTACTTTCTAAGGAATATGAACTTATCTCATGAACCATTCGAGGAGGTTCATTAGTTTGGCAAAACTGTTGGGAATTTGCAGCCATCGTGGAAATTAAATCCTTAGCCTCAATAGAAGTCATGTTCACCAAATCTCCTCTGCTGGCAGCATCGATCATCTTCATTTCCAGGGGTGTTAATCCTTCATAAAAATACTAAAGGAGCATTTGTTCGGTTAACCCATGTTGTGGGCAACTAGCGCATAACTTTTTAAATCTCTCTCAGTATTCATAGAGTGACTCTCCATCAAGTTGTTTGATTCCAAGTATTCTTCTTCGTAACTCACTTGCTAACCGAATCGACTAAGGAAAAAAGAAAAGCTCTAAGTTTGATTTGGTCATCAGTTACTTCATGTGGTCTCATGATGGAGCAGACCATGTGAAATTTCGTGAGATGTTTATGTGGATACTCGTTTAGTAATCCGCGGAAGGTAGGGAGGAGATGAATAAGACAAGTTTTTAACTGGTATGGTGTTTCGTCTTGGGGAAAATCAATGCATAAAGACTCATGTTTAGTAGGAGTTGCGGCTAACTCTCTGATAGTGGGATCAACCATCGAATTTGGTTCGGTATTAACGGATATGCTTGAACTTGATTTTGAATTTGATTATGGATCTAAATATTGTCTCTTTCTTTCCCGAAGAGTCTGTGCGTGAATTCTCCAAGCGCTAGTTTTAATTTATGGGTCGTACTCCACTAATTTGCTCGGGTTTGTCCTGGTCATTAATCAAAAGCAAACAAAAATTAGTAACGTTGGTGAAGTCCCCGGTAACGACGCCAATTTGACAACTTTCGTTTTGATTTCAAAATAAATTTCTTCTTCTCAATTAATAAATAAAGGAAATACATAGTAAATAAAAGTAAGGGTCAATCCATATGGACTTAGAAAATTCCTAAATTTCGGTTTGAATTGTCGTGACCAGGCTTTATGCAGTAGATGAGAATAGGTTTTTTGGTAAAAATGATTAAATAATAAAAAGTGATATAAAGTAAAAATAAAGAATGTAAAGTTAAAAATGAATATGGTAAAAACAGCTTCAAGATTTGCTTTGACTCAATTTCTTTCGGATCATCGAATTAGATTTTCTCTTCGGGATTCATGTCTATTACTTTGTGTACAAGGACAATGCTCGTAACTCTTCTTTGTATACCGAATACCCAAGGCAATATTTGATTTCGGCTTCAAAATTTGATATTATCAACATCAATTGTCGTAGATCAATAATCGTTCAGGTTCGTGAATACTGACTCGGATTGTTGTTTCAATAACTACTAATTTTGATCTCAATTCCCTCTTAGCAAGGCAATCTCACCAAGTGTGTTCCCAGGAAGTCGAATGTGCTTTAATTAAGTCGATCCTTCCTCCCACACATTTAATCGCAACAATATCTTGACCAAATTCAATCTTTGATTTTGAAAACTGTTTTGATTTTGAAAATAAGTGTAGAAATTGAGAGAGATATTCCGAAGTTATTCAAGTGCTTTTTAATTCTCACGTTGGATTTGAGTCATTGTTTAAGCTCTCAGCTTATGATAAAATTAGCTAAGCATGACAAAAGTCATACTTAACATGTTTAAAAATAAAACTTAAAATGCAATGAAAATAAAAATAAAAATAAAATAGAAACTTGAAAAGAAAATAAAAGAAAGACTTTTATAAAACTAGAAAAAAGAAGAAGAGTGAAATCTGAGTTGTGAGTTTAGACTTACCCCAAAAGGGTATTTATAGCCTCTGAAATCCTAGAGATAAATATATAAATTAAAAGAAAAATAATCTTAAAGATAATTCCAAATGTTTTCTAAATTCAAACATTAAAATTAAAAATAAATCTCATAAGATATCTCTGTTCGTTCACCTTTCAGAAGGTGCTGACTAGATCTTCTAGAAAACAACTACTGACTAGACCTTCTAGAAACTGTCATGTCAGATCGTGTCATGCCCAAAGTCATGCTCATGTCTCCAGCCGTGACCAAATAATAAAAAAATTACAGAATGAGCCCTTTTTACTGCTAATTTTGGAAAGTAAAATCCTACACAAAAATAAAAACTAAATCAGTAGCAATAAATCCATAAGATCGAAGAATAGAAAAGCAAATATTATTGATTTAGAACACTCATCAAGGATGAAGATCACAACTACTTTATTTAAACTTATGGCTTTTCTTAAAACTGAAATTTAACATTAGATATCATACCTCTGATATTCCAAGACAATTTCCTCAACGCTAGTCTCGACCTCCACGTTGTAATTGAACGAACTCTTGTTCTTCTTTAAAATGCCATCGACTCACTATCCGAGCCTTCCAACATTGCTCTCTCTCACATCACTTTCTCTTTTGGACCTAGAAACTGTATCCCAATTATTTTGCCTAAACTCCAAAAAATTTTGGTTCCCTTAACAAGATCGACCTTCTAACTAGAATATTCGAGTTCGATAAGGACCTTGCTTGTTTCTTCTTCTTCTTTCTACTTGTACGAGGCCTTTTTCTTTCCAAGCTTGTCAAAATCTCTCTTCCATTTCTGCCAAAGATACCTACCCTTTTTTTTGTAACAAGGTTTGTCACATCTATTTTTCTTTGGAACTGATTCGTTATTCTCAGAAACTAAATTAGTTCTAACCACCAGCTCTTCACTTTCTGGGTTATTTTTCAATTTGTTCACCATTACTTCTCACGTTTCATCTCCATTGCATCTCAATTCCACTTGATTTTCCATTGAATCTCTCATAATGTCCTCATTTATGTCATCTTCTAGACTCATCCTTCTAGACAGCTAATAATTTTTAAAGCCCATGCTCCGGGTGTACATCTATTAAGAAGATTTAAATCATCCAATTCATCTTTTTTAGGCTCATTTGAATCCTTCAACAACCCATCTTTATCACTTACACCCACTTTTGATGTATCCTAAAATAACTGCTCTTCCACGTCCACTATATTTTGGTTCTTTAACAAACCCTTCACTTGTTCTGAAAGAACATTATTATCTCTGCATCCTAAGTTTAAAATTTTAAATTTCGTCTCTCTTAAAATTTTAAAAATGCATCTCTAAAATTTATGCACCCGTCACTTATATATATATATAATAGATTTATTTTCACTTATGCAACGGTTATAAATCTATGTAAAACTAATATATATATATATACTAGTTTCAAACGTTATTCACTAGACAATCATTCAAATTACCGATGAACCCATAATAATTTAGTGTATATAAATATGACGCAAAATGCAACATTTATTTAATGTTCATAAACAACCGGTTTTACCTCTCAAGTAAATTTATACATGTACTGTAAGGCCAGCTCAAAACTAATTGACAGGCACATTTAAATAGGTTTTTTTCTCTCATTTGAGTCGCCTTTAAAATACGTAATACGTTCACCTTGAAAACCTAGTAATATACTATTCCCACTGGTTTTCCCACGAGTGTAGCCGTAAGATTTGTAATGCACAAACACTACACTACATAAACACTATTATATGTTTGGTATAAGCATTAAAGCATAGGTTTAGCCGTAAGATTTGTAATGCAAATGCTTTCGCCCTAAAAATGTGCATGTTCATGAGCGAAATACATCATTGGCTCTGGAGCAGGAAGCCTAGGAAACTCATAGGAAAAAAACGAAGCATCTATGGAGCTGACACATAGTACTACTACAAGGTTTTAAAACTCCCAAATATCGGGATCCGATCTCCATCCCATTTGACTTCGGTATATAAAAATTCCCATTGGCACTCCAAGTTGGATAATTTTTTTGTATTTTAGCATCCAAATTGTTCCCCACCTCCATCTATAAAAAGCCTCTTCCAACTCTAACGTTTTTCATCAACTCCACCAGGCTTTATAATATTCTCAACACAAATTAAGTTTGTTTCCTTTGAGAAATGGCTTCCAAGGCTTCAGCAGCAATTGCCCTTCTTCTCTCCCTCAACCTGCTGTTTTTCTCAATGACCGACGCTCTCATTACTGGTACACTTACCCAATGCCCCGGCACTGACCTGAATGTTTGCGTCAACGTGTTGCCCTTCGGGATTCTCGGGGGAGGTCTTACACAGGGTAGCCCATGCTGCGCCCTCCTTGGAAACTTGGTCGCTGCCGATGCGGAACTTTGCCTTTGTGCTATGGTCAAGTTCCAAATCTTTGGTTTCCTCAGCCTCAACATTGACGCTGATCTTAACGTTCTTCTCAACAGTTATTGCAAAATTGGAATAACCAAAACCTACACCTGCCCTCTTAACTATTAAAATTGGTGTAGTTCTCACTCAGGTGTCCTAAAATTATGAATAATCGTTTCTACGAATGATGTAGGTCTTAGTTGTCCTGCATGCATGAATAATCGTTTCTACGTTTACTGTTTTCTATATATGGACGGATGGGTATCGCCTTCCTTTCCGATGTTGTGGTTCTAATTATGTAATCATAGTATTTTAATCTATAAAATGTCACGAAAATAATTGTTGCAACTCTGCTTTTTATGATACCTTTGCATATGAGATTAACTTCCCCCCCCCCCCCCCGATGTTATTGCGAGTCCAAACCAATGCATTGATGCTCTGAAATACTGTAAAAAATGCATCTTAATTTTGTATCATGTATCAACTAAAATCACCAAAGATTCAAGGTAAGAAAGGATAACATCAGATAAAAACAGTTAAGGGTGGAGCTAAAAAGGCTACATCATGCTAAAGAGAGTTGTTTTTTAACGAGATTGTTATTATGGATAGTTTTTTAACGTCGTTCTACTTCAATTACAGTTTGTCGGTAAATTTTAGTAGTTTGATCTTTTTTTGTGGTTCGTTTGTAGATGCAATCAAATTTATTTATATCTATCTTTTGTTCGAGTTATATGGTTGAGTTTTTAACTTTTCCTTATATGATTTATAATATCAAGTAATCAGTTTCTTATGTTAATAGTCATAGAAAAATATTCTAATTATATATTTAATTTATGATTATAATTATGAACTTTCATTATAATTATGAATATTTTCTCTTTTTATTAAAATCAATTTTTTTAGTTAAAAAATAAAATATATATATATATTGACAAAACATCATAATTCTAACAATTTTGAGTTACGAAACCATATGGTAGAATATACACGTAGTTAATGCTACCATATTATTATTTGTCTTATAATACCATGATACAAGTATTTAAAATAATTAATTCAGAGGATAAATACTCAAATCATGATTATTAATAAGATTTTCATCTTGATGAGTTATAACCATAAAAGAAATTATTATCTTTAGTTTTTATAATATTTTAAACTATTCGAATCTTGCCTAACTCTTCAAATAAATAGAATTTCTCTGTCTCTATTATATATACACCGCTTATATTGTCGCACATTTATTAATTATCTTTTCATTTAATTTTTTATTTTCTTACTAAAACAAAATCAATATAAGTTTGGTAATATATGTTTTTTAAATTTTCAATAATATTTTGTTACTTTTAGTGAATTTAATTTTTTTAATTTAAATCGTAACTAAACCCTAAATCCTATTCCATAAACTATAAATCCTAACCCTCAATTCAAACCCTAAACCCTAAACTTTAAATTTTAAACACTAAAATCAAAATATAAATAAAATTAATTGAACTAAATTGTTATAAACGATTTAATTTTTAAAGAACTTAAATTTTCTAAAAAATAAAAAAATAATTTAATAAATAAGCTAAATAAATTAAATTTATTAAAATAATTTAATTTTATTAAACATTTTAAAATATATATTATCAAAGTAACGTTGATTTTGTTTTAGTAAAAAAATAATAAATTAAATGAAAATAAGGAAACAAAGAAAATGATAAACTTTACAGTTATTGCAAAATTGGAACAACCAAAACCTACACCTGCCCTCTTAACTATTAAAACTGGTGTAACTCTCACTCAGGTGTCCTAAAATCACCTTAATTTTGTATCATGGATCAACTAAAATCACCTAAGGTTCAAGGTAAGAAAGGATAACATCAGATAAAAACAGTTAAGGGTGGAACTAAAAAGACAACATCATGTTAAAGAGAGTTGTTTTTTTAACGTGAATGTGTTTGTGGATAGTTTTCTAACGTCGTTCGACTTCAATTACAGTTTGTCGGTATTTTTTTAGCAGTTTGATCTCTTTTTGTGGTTCGTTTGTAGATGCAATCAGATTTATTTATATCTGTCTTTTGTTCGAGTTATATGGTTTCGTCAAAGTTGGCAATATGGTAGAAGCCGATAGAGTTAAGGAACGTTTGAATGGTCTTATGGTGTATGGTAGTCGCATCTCAGTGAGATTTGCTAAGTATTCTTTGAAGGCTCCGAAGGTTAAATGTGCGCAGTGTAAGTTGTCATGGAAAGGTAATTTAGCAAACCCTGTCGCAACTAGTATTTCTCAAACGAAGGAGGCTAGTCTAGCGTGTGCTTTCAGGAAGGAAGTTAAGGGGCATGTGGATGAGGGCGAAGTAATAAAGTTAAAGAGATGTTTGGTAGGTGTTATGGCTGGTGTTTGTAGTGTTGGGAGTATTGTTGACAGATTACATAACTGGGGTTTAGGGGAAATCAAAGTTCAAAGACTTTGTGGAAAATCATTTCTTCTCACTATCGAGGATGAAGGTCTCTTTATCATGCTTGAAGACCTTCAGTGGTCTTACTTGAAAGAGATTTTTGTGGATGTAATGCTTTGGACTGAGTCTTTTTGCCAGAAGGAGAGAGTTGTTTGGCTAGAGATAGAGGGGTTACCATTGCATTGCTGGAATGCAGTCACTTTGAAAAGATTAGTTGGCTTTTGGGGAAGATTTGAGGCGTTTGGAGATAATGTTAGCCATCATTTAGATTGTGAGAAAGTTAATATGTTGATTTCTACTTCTTCGGAAGCTCGGATTGATGAAGTTGTTGATGTAGTGGTGGAGAATAAAAAGTTTGATGTTCGTGTTCTTGAAGTTAGGTTGGTGGATCATTCTTTAAGAAATTTGTCTAAATCTGAAGTCCTGAAGAAATTAGAGCTTGAGGTTAAGAAGGATGAGGTTGAGGTTGGGGCTAATAATGCAGGTGTGTCTCCAGTTAAAGATGATTTGTCGGTGGCTTCTGAGTCGGGAAGTTCTGATGGTAAGAAAGGGTCTTCTTCTGATGGCATCCCTTTTGATGTCACGTGCTCTGGGGATAGCCTCCTTTGTCGTAAAAAGGTTAGTTTTGGGAAGCAGAGTGAGGTCGAGTGTGGTGTTGAGGATGGTGGACAGAATGTTGACTTTCAAATTATAGATCACTGCAATCACGTCGGGTTGCAAGGATTGGATATTGATGGGGTAGCGTCTTTGGCTGTAGAGTCAATTGTGCCCAGTCCTATTATAGACGGGATGTCAAAGTTAGAGGATGGAGTTTTGGTGAATGCTTCTGTAGTAGTTGCTCCAAAGATTGAGCCTCCTTTAAGGATGGGATTAAAGAATGGTTTTTTATTGAAATCTCATAAAGATGA